GGGGGGGGGGGAGAGGAACCCAACACACCTTTCCTGACTGAGAGAAGAACAAAAGAACTGTAATGAACCCAGACTGCAAGATACTCGTCAGACGTCGAAGTACAAGTTGACTCAGATCTGCACAATGTCTCCAGTAATCGTGAAAATGATATCTGATACAATGTCTCGTTACCAATAGACGACGAGAGTGCAGGGGGAATAGACAGATGAGAAGCTGGAAGAGATAATCAGTGACCACCAAAAGAGTAGCCCAACATTACCCACTCCTCCAGGCTTCCCCTCGCCCCCCTCGCCTCCACGTCATCAATCAATATCCAGTAACAGGTCTGACAAGTCCTGATCACATAGAAGTGCCACGTGGCACTGTCATCTCGTGGAGACAATGAAGACAAACAGCAGTGCACGGTATCGACGTCAACCTCAGGTGAGTGCCAATTCCCCAATCATCCACAGATCCCGATCTCCCTCCTTGTTGCGACCAAGCACCTCATGTAGACAGCGTGGCCAGTGCCACGTCAGCAATAGAGACAGGTGGCATGCGCCACATCAGCAATTAGGACGAGAGGCGGTTAACGGAGACCCAAAATTTCAGCGTTTTTTTAATGCTATTTATAAGAAAACCGGAAGCCCTTTTTAACCAAAAATTGCATCATTCCATAGAGTGCACACCATATTAACAAACCGTTAGAAAAAAAACGAAAAAATAAAATAAAAACAGGGTGAAACAGTAAGGCAAAAGTGCAGTTGAATGACATTTGGATTCAGCGGATTTCCAGAATTTTTAGCGTTTTTGGAAATGGTCTTATCAGAGGAAATTCCAATGCTCCAAATGAGACCAAATTTGGTACACAACAACCTTGAAGTAAGACAAAACCAGGCAAAAACAAAAAAACAAAAAAACAAAAAAAATTCACCCCCAAAGCCTAATTTCAGTTTTGGTCCAGATGGCCTGCGCCACATGAGCAATGTAAACAGGTGGCATGTGCGACATCAGCAATGTAGACAGGTGGCATGCGCCACATCAGCAATGAAGACAGATGGCCTGCAGCACATCAGCAATGTGGACAGCTGGCATGCACCGCATCAGCAATGAAGACAGGTGGCACGCGCCACATCAGCAGAGGCTGGCACTCAGCAGAGAAGGCGCCAGCATGCTGCCACAGTCCCGCGTCGTCGTCCACAGTATCAGCGCACAGCCAGCGTCAAGCCAGCGTCCAACCAGCATCCAGCCAGCGTCATGCCAGCGTCCAGCCAGCGTCAAGCCAGTGTCAAGGCAGCATAGCAAGACTGAATGTTGACCTCCTGGAGACCAAGCCTTATGTAGTGTTTGATGAGGCAGTCTGGCCTCAGGTCTCCCTCCCACAGTCGTAAAGATTGACTCACAGCCGAGGGCCTGGATTCTGTACAGTTGCAGACTTCCACCTGGTCCTGATGCTGTCTGGGTACCTGCATACGAACAAGTGTGTGCGTCTGACCGGCGGCCTGGGCTGGGTCCAATTTGACTTTGACTGTTGGACGTCGGGCGGTTGACTTTGGTCACTGTCGTCCGCTCAGCCCCTGAATCCACGTAGGGGTCTTTTCTCCCCTTCAGCCTTGGTCTGAGTGGTGGCATGGTGAGGCCCTTAGACATTCCCCAAGGCATACTGCATGGGTTATTGCAGAACAAAGGGGGGAAAGAAAAGAAGAAAAAAAAGAAAATGAAAATCCTTCTGGATCTATCGGCGCTTGATTGGGTCTTGACTACGTCATGGCTTGTT